AAAAAAAAAAAAAAAAAGTGGAAGAAGGGTTTGATGGGTTTTGATGATATATGTTCACTTCATACATCAAATGAATAGACTGGTGCTGGAAGCCTGTGATGTGGGAAGGTGGCAATAAAGATGTGAGTGTGACTGAAGCAGAATATATGTTCTTGAAGATTTCTATAAACAAAAGACCAGGGTTTGGCAATATTTTCTGTAAAGGGCCAATATTTTAGTCTTTGTATACCACATATGGTCTCTGTTCCACATTCTTTTTTTTTTTTTGTAACAATTATTTCTAAATTTAATTAGCTTGCAGGCTGTTCCGAAACAAGCTACAGCTTGTGGGCCAAATTTGCAGTGTATCTAGTTTGTCCACCACTGCTATGGCCAAAACTTCCTATGTACTATGGAATAGAAGATAATTCTATTTATTTCCAGACATATTCAGGTAATTATCAGAATTTCTCAATTAACTGAAATAGGTTCATAGGAACAGTACTTGCAAAGGATCTAAAACATTCTCAGTAAGTGGGATTTACTCTATCTTCTTTTCCTTTAAAGATTAAAACAATAATAATTATTGATGGGATTCTCCCCAAAAAAATGAACTGTAAAATCTCTATTTTTAAAAAGTATACTTTGCATAAAACTTAAAAATTTCTTCCAGATATAACTTTATTATAATGTATCATTAGCATTTTTATCATAACAGATCTTTTATTTAATATTTATAGTTTACTACATGATACAGTAGTTCCCCCTTACACGTGGTTTTGCCTTCCTCAATTTCAGTTACCCACAGTCAACCACGGTCCAAAAATATTAGATGGAAAAATTCCAGAAATAAACAATTTATAAGTTTTCAACTCCATGCCATTCTCAGTAACATGATGAAATCTCACACTAACCACTCCGCCCACTTCGGATGTGATATGCTTTGTCCAGCATATCAACAATGTATATACTACCTGATTATCAGATCAAAACAACATCATATATATAGGGTTCCATACTATCTGAGGTTTTCGGCATCCACTGGGAGTCTTAGAATGTATCGCCCTTGGGTAAGGAGGGACTGCTGTACGCCATCTGATGGATATGTTACACTTAATAGTGATTATATTTAGATATAGGTATATTTTTAAATAAATTATATTTAGAATTTACATTACAAAAAATCTCTAAAGCTTCTGCAACGTCCAATACTCTAGTTCAGCAATATGTGGATATTGAGCACTTGAATGGGACTAGCCCAAACCCACATGTGCTGTAAATGTCAAATATATACCAGATACCAGATAGTGAAGACTTTAGAAGGAAAATAACAAGGTAAAACATATTGATGATTTATATGTATTTTTTATTTTATCTTGGTTTTGAGGCAGGGTCTCATTCTGTCACCCAGGTTGGAATGGCGTGGCACAATCACAGCCCATTTATTGATTACAGCTCACCGCAGCCTCGAACTCCTGGGTTCAAGCAATTCTCCTACCTCAGCTTCCCAAATTGCTGAGACTACAGGCATATGCCACCATGTCTGGCTAATTTTTTTTTTTGGTGGTGGTGGTTGTTTTTTAGAGATGGGATCTCATTAAGTTGCTCAGGCTTATCTCAAACTCCTGGGCTCAAGCAGTCCTCCTGCCTCAGCCTTCCAATTCCAAAGTGCTGAGATTACAGGCATGAACCACCACTGTCAGGGCCTGACCATGACTTTTATATTGAATACACTTTGAAATAATATTTTGGCCATATTGGGTTAAATGAAAGACATTAAAATCAATTGCATGTGTTTCTTTTTCCTTTTTTTTATGTGACTACTAAAGTATTTAAAATATTTACTAAACTATGTGGCCTTGCATACCATTCTATACTTTCAAAATTTGACTACTAGAAAATTTTAAATTACATATGTAGCTTGAATTACAATTATTTTAGACAGTGCTATTTTAATCCTGAGAATTTCAGATACAATGCCCACTTCTAGGAACTTCATTTCTGCCCCATTTCTGCTCTAGACAGATAAGGAGCACACAGGAGATGCTGAATGATTTGGTCAATGCACACATGGATACTGATACAATTTGGCTGTGTCCCCACCCAAATCTCATCTTGAATTGTAGCTCCCATAATTCCCATGTGTTGTGGGAGAGACCCAGTGTGAGATAATTGAATCACAGGGGCCACTCCCCCTATACTGTTTTCGTGGCAGTAAGTCTCACAGGATCTAATGATTTTATAAGGGGTTTCCCTTTTCTCTTGGCATTCATTCACTCTTTGCCTGTCACCATGTAAGACATGCCTTTCGCCTTCCGCCATGACTGTGAGGCCTCCCCAGCTATGTGGAACTGAGTCCATTAAACCTCTTTTTCTTTATAAATTATCCAGTCTTTATCAGGAATGTCTTTATCAGCAGTGTGAAAACGGACTACTAAAGATATGCATGGAGAAGATGGGGGCACTTAGGAATCTGGCTGGCTCCACCCCTTGCTGGAATGGGGAAGACTGGGGAGCAGCTGTTGAATGGGGCTCTGTTAGAAAGTTGCAGAATAACAAATCAGAATGTTCACATAACCTGAAAAAAATGACAGAATTCTAAGTAGAGAGAAATTCCAACTTACACGAGCCATGATTTTAGAATTGAAAGAACCGGGTCAATTTTCCTCAAGGTTCATTTACCTCAGCAGCAGCGTCCACAGATGCCAGAGCTGGAGAAAGAACGCGTAAAATCATGAGAACAGAATTGCCTCAGAGTTTCCAAATTTAAAAAACCGATACTATTACTCCATTCCTATACGCAACTCCCACCCCCAACATACAGACAAGTTTTGATAGGTAAGAGGTAGTTTAGACAAAGATGTCCTCCCCAAAACCACAGCAAAATCAGCTCAGCTGCACAAGGAATTGCAGAGCAGAGACTCTGCAGCATCAAAGCGTATGTCTAGACATGTCGGCAGGAGGGCTGCCAGTTGGTCCCCAGCTCCGACCCCAGGGCAGGCTGGTTTGGACCAAAGAATGGGTTGTGCAGACCTGTCCTGAACAGATCCTCCTCCCTCCATCCCCACCTTCCCAGCTGAAAAGGGGTTACACCATCTAAACCAAAACTCTCCTTCTTGGCCTTAGGAATCTGGTCGGCCTCCCCAAACACGAAGACAGAACATAGCATAGACAAGAATTGCCCAAACTTTGCTCAAATTGGAATCATCTGGATATCTTTAAACTCTACTGTTGCCTGGCTCCCACCTTTAAACACACTGATTTAATTAGTGTGACGTGGGATTTAGGATTTTTTTAACTACCTCTTCCTCCCATGGGTGTTTCTAATGGGCAGCAAAGTTTGGTAGTCAAACTTGAGTATGCCTCAGAATCACCCAGAGGGCTTGTTAAAACACAACTTGCTAGGTCTCACTGCTAGAGTTTGGCATTCAGTAGGTTTGGGATTGGACTTGAGAATTTGCATTTCTAAAAAGTTTCCAGGTGATGCTGATGCTGCTGGTCCAGATGCCACACTTTGAGGACCACAGGTATAAAACACCTGTAGAAAGGCTATATAGCAGCCTTGATTGTGGCAAAACCGCAGGTGCACATTGGGAGCCCTTCCCCAAGGCTTAACTCAGAGCTCTCTGCTCCTTATTTTCCTATTCAGGATCAATACTGCCTGCATGATCTCAATTACCAAGCAATCTTTCTTGGTACTCAGACTTAAAGAAGTAAATTTATGAAACCTGAGCATGGATAATATTCTAGAAGGTAGAAACAGGCTGGGTGCAGTGGCTCATGTATGTAGTCCCAGCACTTTGGGAGGCCCAGATGGGAGGATTCCTTGATGCCAGGAATTGAAAACCAGCCTGGACAACATAGTAAGAGTCTGTCTCTGACCAAAAAAAAATTTTTTAATTAGCTGGCTGTGTTGGCACTTGCCTGTATCCCTAGCTACTTGGGAGGCTGAGGCAAGAGAACTGCTTGAGCCCAGGAGTTCAGGGCTGCAGTGAGCTATGATCTTTCCACCGCACTCCAGCCTGGGTGACAGAGTAAGACCCTGTCTCTTAAAACAAAACAAAACAAAAAAAAGAACAAAATAGGAAAAGGAAAAAGAAATAACCTATCAGCTTATCAGTTAAAATATACTAGTAACTAGAGCACATATTGAAGGAACTGTATTGGCAGATTTGAAAAAGTTCTGACACCTCATAATTACTAAGCTGTTGGGGAAATGGATACTCAATGATATGACGTAGAAAGAATGAAATAATTTGTGGATAGAAAGTGTTTAAAATGGGACCAAAAAAGCTGGAAAGAACCTAAATATCCTTCAGCAATGTTAAATAAATTACCACGCATTCACACAATGGAAAATTAAACAGCCGAGTCCAGTGGCTCATGCCTGTAATCTCAGCACTCTGGGAGGTCAAGACAGGTGACTGCTTAATAAGTCCAGGAGTTCAATACTAGCCTGGCCAACATGACAAAACTCCATCTCTACAAAAAATTAGCCAGGCATGGTGGTGCAAACCTGTGGTCCCAGCTCCCTGGGAGGCTAAGGTGGGAGGATCGCCTGAGCCCAGGAGGTCGAGGCTGCAATGAACCCTGTTCATGCCACTGAACTCCAGCCTGGGCAGCAGAGCGATACCCTGTTTTTTTTTAAAAAAAAAAAAAAAAAAAAGAAAAGAAAAGAAAAGAAAAGAAAAATAAACACCTATTAAAAATGAAGATAAAATTCATATTTGATGTCATGGCAAGACAGCCACTACATAATGTTGAGGGGAAGAAGATAGGTTTAAAATATGATTGTAATGTAATTGTATTTTCGCAGGTGAACTACGTACACATGCATATATGTATATGCATGTGTATAAAAAGATCTGTGAATTGGAATAAAATTTTATTGTTACCTCTACTTGATGGTATCCCAGTCCTAGGTGATAATTATTAGTTCTTCCCTGGAGTCTTTACATTTTTTTTAAGGCAGGATTTTGCTCTGTCACCCAGGCTAAAGTGCAATCTCGGATCTCAGCTCACTGTAGCCTCTACTTCCAGGGCTCAAGCGATCCTCCTACCTCAGCCTCCGGAGTAGCTGGGACTAAAGACACATGCCACCACCCTGGCTAATTTTTGTATTTTTTGCCAGTCTATGTTGCCTAGCCTGTTTTCAAACTCCTGGACTCAAGTGATCCACCTGCCTCCACCTCCCAAAGTGCTGGGATTACAGGCTTGAGCCACTGCACCTGGCCTGAATTTTTTAATTAAAAATTTGTATCACTTATACCTGAACAATAGTTCAAAACAGCTATGCAAGGAATATCACAAAAAGCTCCAACAGTTCCATCCCTGCTACTCTGCCCCTATCTTCCAAATCTAGAGGCAACAATTTTTACCTCTATTAGCTGTTCCTTTTGGTATTTAAACTCCATGCATTTAAAAAACATGCTAATATTTTTACTTCTGAATTTTTAGTTGTAATCATTATATATTCCCTTACTACTATGGCAGACACAGTTTTAGCTATCTTTTACCTACTCACCTCCCACCCACATATGCAGTTACAGTCCCTTTGTCCTTTCGATATGATTTTATTCTTTTTTTTTGAGACAGAGTTTCACTCTGTCGCCCAGGCTGTAGCGCAGTGGCACAATCTCAGCTCACTGCAACCTCCGCCTCCTGGGTTCAAGCGATTCTCTGCCTGTCCCAGCCTCCCGAGTAGCTGAGATTACAGGTGCACACCACCAAGCTCAGCTAATTTTTGTGTTTTTTGTAGAGATGGGGTTTCACCATGTTGGCCAGGCTGGTCTCAAACTCCTGGGCTCATGTGATCCACCAGCCTTGGCCTCCCAAAGTGTTGGGATTATAGGTGTGAGCCACTGCACCCAGCCTCAATATGGTTTTATTTTATTTCAGAGTAAATCAGTTTTTAAATTCAGTGTATATTATTGTGACTAAACATTGTTACCAACTGAACTATGTAGTATACTCAGGTTATTCTGCCTTCTTTGCATAAGATTTTTTCTTCTGAGATAAAATGATCTTGTTTTTTGTAAGTTTAGTTTTCGAAGAAATTGTCATTAATTCATTTCCCCGAATCATGTAATTGAGGGATGAAGCTCCTGGTATAAAATAGCACAGCTGGCCGGGCGTAGTGGCTCACGCCTGTAATCCCAGTACTTTAGGAGGCCAAGGAGGGTGGATCACGAGGTCAGGAGATCAAGATCATCCTGGCTAAAACGGTGAAACCCCATCTCCACTAAAAATACAAAAAATTAGCCGAGCATGGTAGCACATGCCTGTAGTCCCAGCTACTGGGGAGGCTGAGGCAGGAGAATCGCTTGAACCCAGAAGGCGGAGGTTGCAGCGAGCCAAGATCACGCCACTGCACTCCATCCAGCCTGGGCGACACAGCAAGACTCCATCTCAAAATAAAAAATAAAAAATAAAATAGCTCAGCTGTCTATTTTATATTCTAAGAATGAAAATCAATCCTTCAGAAACACAGTCAAATACTTCAAATACCTATATCCCACCTGGCAAAAGTCAATTCCTAAATGTGCCTATCGCTGAAATTCACATGACTCTGAGGTGAAAAGTTGACGTGGTGGCGGGTGCCCGTAATCCCAGCTATTGGGGAAGCTGAGGCAGGAGAATCGCTTGAACCCAGGAGGTGGAGGTTGCAGTGGGCCAAGATCGCGCCACTGCACTCCAGCCTGGGCAATAAGAGCAAAACTCCACCTCAAAAAAAAAAAAAAAGAAAGAAAGAAATAAAACCACACACAAAACCACCCAGGCTTGTAGAAATATTTTGGGAAAATATGCTCTAAAACATTAATAATGATTATTTCTGGACATTGGGACCAAAGTGATTAAAAGCCAGTAAGAACGGCAGACAAGAACAAATGCTCATTTCACAGCAGCTACTTAATAACTTGCATTTACCCCTCCTCAGCTCCAATAAATAACTATCACTAAATACCTAGCGATTTAATATTTAAATATTACATTGTTGCAAAATAACTTAAAAATCTTTATTGTAGTATTCAAGATTCATATGTAACAACAATTTCTTGACGACTCTTATTTACAACAATACTTCTCAATATTACATTATACTTTTTTCTTATGACTAAATATAAACACAATTCTTATTACTGCATAACATTCCATCACATGGATGGAGTGTGATTTAACCATTTCCATACTGCTAGATATTAATTTCATAAAAGAACATCCCAAAAGTCACTCCCAGTTATGTCATTTCTAGACAGCGAGAATCAATGTCGTTGGAGCTTATATAACTCCGATAATACCATGCAATCACAGGCTTCCTCGCTCCCCTGCAAAAATTAACCATTTACAAATACATACAACAATTCTGGATATAATCTTAAAATATCTTTGTTGCCCTGAAAGCTCATAAACAGAGTCCAAAGACTTATGTTACCAATCCCTGTTCTGGTCCACCGGAGGGTCTGGCTCATTTTCCTGCTTGCAAGCATCCATCATAATTCCCTTCACATTTGCATTGCTCTTGGGAATAAACAAAGCTGATAGGGAATGACTGAGCATCATCATTTTAATGCCAGTGGCTAGGATGCATTAAGGACTCACTATGTGCCAGGCACTCTCCTAAAAGCTTCAAAAATATTAATTCATGTCATCTTCAAAACAACACCGTGAAGTATACACTATTACAATTATGAGGAAACTGAAGCACAGACTGCTTAAACTCGTTTAGCTTTAAGTGGCAGTCAGGATTCAAATCCACTTAATCTAGGCTCGAAATACTTAATCACTACACTACACTACACCTCTCTCAGTCGATCTAAAGATATACCCAAAATAAACTCATGCTGCCAAACCTCAAATCACATCTGGCTGGTATCAAAAACTTCTACTCACGAATTTCCTGGAAAAAAAGAAATCATCTTTCTACCCCGGAATCATTAAAACATATCTAAACCCCAGAAAACTCCTTAACAAAAACAAAGTATGAACATTAATCTCAAGCAAGGGTATTTCCAGATCATCAAAATCCTTAGAAAAACAGCGCTCACGAGTAACTGAACATACAGCTCACAGTTAACTAACCACGTAACTAACTATAGAACAGCATGAAGTAGGCACTAAAAAAGGGAAATCTATTAATTAGGTTCCCTGTCGTTAACCAGGTAGGGAAACCCTAAGGCCCAAATCAATGAATAAATAGATCATTCTCAAGCAGGATTTTAAACGGAAGGAAGTCGAATGCATTTCACAGAAACAAAGCAGCAGCACGAACTCACACGGAACCGGCTTTTAGAAGAGCAGCAGCGATTCGTTTCTCCTACTCAAGCGCCTCCTCTGGAAACCGGCAGGGCTGGGGAAGCAGGCACAGTTCAGGACACCCCAGGCTTTTCTTGATTGGAACTCCCCCTCCACGCTTCCCTGGCCCCAGCGAACCGCCACCTGCATGCACAAATGGAAACGACAGGGCAGAGGATCCGCAGTCACCCGCGTCTGGGTTCGAAGTTCCGGGTACGCTGTAGTTCCATACCCAGTTGCCCACGCCCCGGGACCACCCACTGTGTCTTTTCGGAACTGTCCAGGTGTCCTCCCAGACCCCAGACACCCGCCCCAAATCTAGGTCCCAGCGTTTTGCAGGGGACCTTCATCTTGGGGCGTTCACCTGTGACTTCCCTCTTGGACCTTTTCGCTACGGCCGAGCCTAAGTGGCTGAAGAGCGGAAGAGGATGCGCGGGGCCTGGGTCTCCAATTGCACCATAGGCCGCACCCACGAACCGGGCCCGGCACAATTACTGCCGTCCGGGCCTCCAGGCCTCCAGGCCTCAGGGCTGCAGAAGCTCAGTCCCGGGAAAAAACGTACAGCGGCCTGAGGCTCCATAGGAACCTTTTCTCCCCCTCCGGTCCTGCCTGCAAAATAACCCACCCCGCGCTCTTTTCCCTCAGAAAAGCAGCGGCCACAGCGGCGCCCGGCTCCCAGCTCCGGCCTCACCGGACTCCCAGGATCGTCCAGCCCTGGAGTCAGCCGCGCCAGAATACGGGAAAGCGCCTGTCTCGGTCTCGAATGCGCAAGCGCACGGGGGGCGGAGGCAAGTCCCGCCGCTGCTCCAGAACGGGAGGGGCGCGTGGGGCAGGGTCTCGGCAGGGATAGTGCGGCGGGGGAGGTGCACCCAGAGGGGCCGTAGTGTCCGTTGCCTCAGGCCTCTACCTCTAATGGGGGCCCCGTGACTGACCAGTGCCATTAAAGATAATCCGGGCCTGCTCCCCTGTGGACACTGCGGTCCAAAACTTAAAAAACCAACATTTCGGCTTTTTATTTTTCATTTGGTTCTCAGCTCGGCGCCAGGCGGAGGCTGCGAGCCCCGCCCCGCCCCCAGCGACGCCTCACTGGATCCTTTGGAAATCGGCTTCTGCCTGGAGTGCGCAAGCGCGCGGGGCGAACCTGGGGGCTCTTCAGGGAGCAAGGGAGACGCGTGGGGCCGCACGTGCCGAGGGGTCGGGAGATTTGGAGGTGGGTGGAGGTTGGCTACAGGATCCCGATGGGGATGGAGTGTCCAAACCTAGGCCTGTAGCCGTGACCCTGGCGGTGAGCTGGATGGAGGAAACCCCAGTGCGGCGAGCCTGGACCAAGGCGCGGCGCGTGCTCCCTGCGGTGTTTGCTGAGTGACGGCCGCCGCGCCCCCGCGCACCTGGACCGAGTGCTTGGCCGCAGGCGGAGTAGTGTTTCCGGGCACGGGGGATGATGAGTGAGCGTGTGCCGTTCTCCTGCAGGGGATTGTGATGGTGCCGCAGAGAAAGCTGCGCGGTGGTGCCTGACTCTGACGCCGGCTGTAGGGGTCTCTGGGATCTGTGCGGTTTGTGTCTGCGTTTGTGACGTACCTGAGATCGGATCTGTGACTGTGGCTCTGCCTCGTCCAGTGTATTTCCAGAATGCTTTTGCTAGGGCAGCGCTTCTGGTTCTGGTTTTCCATGGAGACGGTTTGTGGGTCTCTACGAAACTGAGTGTTGGGATTTTGATTATCTGCATCTGGCCCTTGTGTACCCTCAGGACTGTGGTGTTAGGCAAGTAAAACAATTGCAGGAAAAAAAATTGGAAAGGAATAAGGTTGCTGTTACTTCCAAATGATGGACTTGTAGGACCGTGTCAGAAAATTGAAATGAATAGGACACCATGAAACGGGAGGGAGAGGCATTTTATTTTCTTCCATACCTGGACTTGGAATATTCTAACAAATGAGATTTGTTTTTTCTCCTTTGTTCCTAGATGAACTCTTGGATAAATTCAATGTCTCCAAGCATTCTGGTCTCAAACTCCTGACCTCAGGTGATCCTGAGACCATCCTGGCCAACATGGTGAAACCCTGTCTCTACTAGAAATAAAAGTAGCTGGGCGTGGTAGCGTGTGTCTGTAATCCCAGCTACTGGGGAGGCTGAGGCAGGACAAGAGCTTCAACCAGAGAGTCAGAGGTTGCAGTGAGCCGAGATCACACCGCTGCACTTAAGCCTGGCGACAGAGCGAGACTCCATCAAAAAAAAAAAAAAAAAAAAAGCAAAAATTAGCTGGGCATGGTGGCACATGCCTGTAATCCCAGCTACCCAGGAGGCTGAGAGAGGAGAATGAGAATCGCTTGAACCCAGGAGGTGGAGGTTACAGTGAGCCGAGATCGCAACACTGTACTCCAACCTGGGCGACAGAGCAAGACTCCATCTCAAAAAAAAAAAGAGGATTGTTGACTCGAGTCATGGAGGTATGACCTGGCAGTCAGCATTTGGGGACTTGCAAATGTCTGTGCATGGCTGAAGTGTGGGGTGCCTTTAGGGAGTGGGGAGGGGAACTACAGGGGTAAACAAAGGCTAGATTTTCAAAGACCCTGAATGCCAAGCACAGGAACTAGAACTTCATTCTGTAAGTAATGGGGAGCAGGAATTAAACAGGGGAGGGCTGGGTTCATATTTATGCTTCCGAAACATCACAATGATCTTGATAGAGAGAGTGCGAAGTAGAGACAGGACCACTGGGCATCTAGATCATGGTTAGTCTGGGCATGGCTATCCCTGAGAACTTATAGGCTCTTATCAGCCTCTTTAAATAAGCATGATGGCGTCACAGTCTTTGATCTGCAGATCTCTGAGGCTGCAGCATTTCCACTGGCATGAGGCTGAAACTTCGGTATATGATCCACGGTTCAAGGTCCTCCAGCTGTATCCGTCTTTTCTTACTAAGTCCAGATGGACTCATCAGGGTTGGTGATGTAAGAATTGGTCTGGCCACTTGATTTCTTCAAAGAAATGATGCTTCCAGCACTTGAATGCAACCATAGAGAAGATCCCATTGTCCACCGGGTTCTGTTGGCTGCTGACCCTTCGCTGTTCCACTTGGCTCCTAAAGGAGAGACACAGCTGCCCACTGCCCCCTTGATGGACAGATGGGACTGGAGGTGTTCACTGATAGTGTCTGGGCTGCTTCTGTAGTCTATCTCACCCTCACCTCTCTGGGATGTTCCCTGCTCACTGGAAGGGAGAAAAGAGCAGGTGAGATTATTTGGATGGCTTTCGACAGCTGGCTGTTGTCTTCAGAGCCTCACCCTTCTGGTAATTGACCATTTAATTTATTGCCTACTGAGGCACCTTTAAAAGTCAAAGGAGTCCAGGTGCAGTGACTCACACCTGTAATCCCAACACTTTGGGTGGATCACTTGAGGTCCGGAGTTCGAGACCAGCCTGGCCAACATGGTGAAACCCCATCTCTACTAAAAACACAAAAATTAGCCAGATGTGGTAGTACACGCCTGTAATCCCAGCTACTCAGGAGGCCGAGGCAGGAGAATTGCTTGAACCTGGGAGGCAGAGGTTCCAGTGAGCTGAGATCACGCCACTACACTCCAGCCTGGGTAATAGAGTGAGACACCCTGATTCTCAAAAAAAAAAAAAAAAAGTCTCTAAGAGGCTGCGAGTGGTGGCTCATGCCTGTAATCCTGGCACTTTGGGAGGCCTAGGCAGGGGGATTGCTTGAGCTCAGGAGTTGGAGAGCAGCCTGGGTAACATGAGATCCCATCTCTACAAAAAATTTTAAAAATTAGCCAGGCATGGTGGCATGCACTTGTAGTCCCAGCTACTCAGGAGGCTGAAGTGGGAGAATGGCTTGAGCCTAGGAAATTGAGGCTGCAGTGAGCTGTGGTCATGCCACTGCACTCCAGACTGGGTAATAGAGTGAGACCCTGTCTCGGAAATAGAAAAATAAAAATAAAATAGTCTCTAAGAAAGTTTAATACGGGAATTGAATAACGATTGTTTAAGTAAAAAAAAAAAAAAAAGTGCAAAAAATAGGAAGTACACTTAGATGCATACATGTGCTTGTGTGAGGATGGGATATCTGGAATGAGATGCAAGAAAATGATTAAGTGGATTTCTGGGACTGGGGTAGAACTGAGGGACTGGTCAGAATAGGAGAGAAACCTACCTTTAATGTGACACCCTTTTTAACAGTTTGATTTGCTTTTGAAAAGAACTATGAACGTGTCTTACCTTTTCACCAACTATAAAATTATTAGTAAGTATATGGAGAGGGATCTTGACAGGAATCTGATGTACTGTCCTATTCCATGAATTTTCCATTCCAGAAGCCCCATGGTCAGCTGGGCATTGCTAGTCAATGGGATGTGGCCTGGTACTGGGTCACTCTGATGCATTAGACATCTGCTTTGCTTCAATTACTGCAGGGTTGCCTTTGAAGACAGACAGAATTTCCATGCAAGGTACGTGATGCAGGACCAATGATAAGCCTTCTCTTGGAGTAGGAGATGGGGCAGTTAGATCTCTGAGTGAACTCATAAACAGAGTCCTGGTCTGCGAGTGCTGGTTTCTTCTACAGTGATCCATCCCAGGACTGCTGTGACCCCTGTGGGGAAGGAGCCCACACAGCTGGTGTTGCTGTCTGGAGTAGAATCCTGTGCCCCACTCTTCTCATGTTTGGATATATCTAGTAAACCTCTTGTTTTAATAGCAAGACATTGAGCTGCTGACAACCCATAAAAGGTACAGCCTTACCCTGTTACAGCTCACGCCTGTAACCCCAGCACTTTGGGAGGCCAAAATAGGCGGGTCACCTGAGGTTGAGACTAGCCTGGCCATTATGGTGAAACCCGTCTCTACTAAAAATACACAAATTAGCCAGGCATAGTGGCAGGTGCCTGTAATTCCAGCTACTTAGGAGGCTGAGGCAGGAGAATCGTTTGAACCCGGGTGGCGGAGGTTGCAGTGAGCCAAGATCATGCCACTGCACTCCAGCCTTGGCAACAGACTAAGCCTCTGTCTCAATAAGCCTAAAAAAAAAAAAAAAAAAAAAAAAAAAGCACAGCCTTACCCTGCAGGATGTCAGTATGTGAGTAAATTCTTTGACTTGATTTCTCAAGTGGCTACAGAGTAGGGCAGAAATTGCCCTGCCTGTTTCACAGAACTGAGGCCCAGACATTTTCAGGGCAGAATTGCAGGGAGAAGAATGGCAGAGCTTGTTGGCTGGGACTTCTCCAGGGGAGGTGTTGCCTGTGCTGGGGACTTGGTGCTGTGGAAGCAGTTGGGAATTTCACTATGAGATCGAAGTGAAGTCATTATTGAGGCATAAATGGAGTGTAAGTGTGGCTTGTACCTGTACGTGCCAGCCCTGGCAAGAGTCTCTGGTCCAGTTGTAGGGGTGCCATAAGCAGTGAACAGCCTCTTTGGCCATGAGGTCCCATTATTTCCGTTTCCCAGGTTGTTGGTGATGGTTAACTGGACCCAAGATGATGAGAGAGAAGGGAAGCAGGTCCCAGCCACACTCAGAGCTTTGACCTCTGGAGCTCAAAAGATGTGGGACTGTGTGTGCCTCCATGTAGGGAGGGCTCCTTGCACGCTGAAGCTCTTAGTTTACGATTGGGCATATCAATTAACTTGACCCAGTCAAAGTGAATCTCAGAGGTTTATTTTGGAATGCTAGGCAAAGGTGCTCTCCCTCTTGTGCTGAAAGGGATATGTCCAGATAGGAGGCCTGGAACTGATGCAGT